ATATGGCGTGTGTCTCCACACTCAAAACAAGCTCTAGAAGGACGTGGTAGTGGGAGTTGTGCGGTACGGGTACCCCAAGACCCCTGAACACCTGAAACACTATGTGAAATCGGAGATGCAAACTGAGTTGGCTGACCCACAAAACCTCTACCATGCCATACTCTTCCTCCAAAATAAGGACTAGTAGGTCTCTCCAGTCTACGAGGTCTCCTTACTTCCCTATACTATTTCTCCAGACCTCATCTGTCCTTTCTCTCCTGGACCCACTTGTCCTCTACTCGGCGAGAGGTCGTCACCACCCGCTGAACTGGGACCACAAATTGTGTCACCATGACACCTAGAACTTGAATAATGGGAACTCGCTGCTCTGGAGTGGGGGTGGTGGAAGTCTAGGTCCATTCTCCGATCTGTGAAGTAGTTGGTACAACCTGAATTAACCCCGCTTGAACTAACGTACCAAACATGCTCAGAACTATGCAAATGTCTCCTGAAAGGCTAGAGCAGTAGTAGCAGTAGGCGCATCTGGTGCCTGGGCTCTGGCTGGAACTGCTGGTGGCTCCTCGGTGGTAGCTCATGCGGGTGCTCTTGCTTCATCGCGTGCACGTGCGTGTCCTCGGTACCCACTTCTGGCGACTCTCGTAGGGGCGCGGGTGCCTGATCATTTCAGGTAGCACGTGTCCTCACCATCGGTGAGAGAATAGAAGATAGAAGTTCAGAATTTGTGATGTCAAAAATCTCGCACAACAGGGAAATCAAATGAAGTGGAATTTTCCTAATAGTTACATAGTCTCTCGTAGATAAGTACAAACGTCTCCGTACCGATCAGCGAGACTCTAATAAACTGGCTTGTGATCCATGACTCTTATGAACCTAGAGCTCTGATACCAAATTGTCACGACCCTGGTTTGCCCTCCGTGAACCCTCGTGACGGAACCTAGTCTCTACGACTAGGTAAGCCTAATTTACGGAAGAAAAACCAAAATTTGCGGAAGTAAACAATTTAAAACAGAAATAAAGTAGTAACAGTATTTAAATGTGTCGCTCGACATACACCATATATAAATCTCAAAAACAATATCCAAATCCAAGACCCAGAAACCCATGAATTACAAGCTAAGAAAAGAAATACTACATAGCTCTAACTCCGGAATTTTGTCTAATAAGAACAGAAGTACAGAACGGCTAAATACTAAAAGTAGGAATAGAAAGGGACTTCTCGGTCTGTGGACGCGGTAGATGTACCTCGAAGTCTCTAAGCAGTCGCCTCCCTCAAGGATGGTAGGCTTGAGTAGAAGTACCTGGATCTGCACATGAAAAACATACGCAGAAGAGGCATGAGTACACCACAGCGGTACTCAGTAAGTGCCAAGTCTAACCTCGGTTGGGTAGTGACGAGGAAGGTCAGGGCCCTACTGAGATGAAATAAATATAGAGAATATGAGACATGACAGTATAAGATAAGCAGTACAGATGAAAAACTACAGTAAGAATCTACACAGGATAGTAAGGAGTACAATATCGAAAACAGGAATAATGGCAAACATCAGAAGTACCACTCATAACAAGGATGATAACCAGGGATCTCTCTGTATCCCGAGGATCTCTTAGTACCCTCCATATATGTCAGGGATCTCTTAGTATCCCGAGGATCTCTCGGTATCCTCAATGTATGCTAGGGATCTCTTGGTATCCCGAGGATCTTTTGGTATCCTCAATATATATGTTAGGGATCTCTTGGTATCCTCAATAAATGCTAGGGATCTCTTGGTATCCCGAGGATCTCATGGTATCCTCAATAAATGCTAGGGATCTCTTGGTATCCCGAGGATCTCTTGGTTTCATCAATATATGCTAGGAATCTCTTGGTATCCCGAGGATCTCTTAGTATCCTCAATATATGCTAGGGATCTCTTGGTATCCTCAATAAATGCTAGGGATCTCTTGGTATCCCGAGGATCTCTTGGTAACCTCAATATATGCTAGGGATCTCTTTGTATCCCGAGGATCTCTTGATATCCTCAATATACGTGCCAGAGATCTTTTGGTATCCCGCACCTCAGTCCAGATCATAAATATGTGCAGGGGATCTCCCGAGATGTCGCCCGTAGTCCCAAAGTAAAACACACAGCAACAACCAGATCATAAATACGTACAGAGGATCTCCCGGGATGTCGTCCCGTAGTCCCAAAATAAAGCACACAGCAGCAACACAAGAATATCCAAATAAGCTAAATTTCGTACCAAGTAAACAGTTAATTCTAGCCTAACATAATCCGCATAATGCAATTAAGGCAGTTTAAGCAAATAGGCAATTAGGTCAACTAAACGTACTTCTCTAAACTAGCAACAGGCTAAATTCACAAGTAGAATAAAACAGGAAAAAAAAAACTCAATTGAAATACTTAAGGAAAAATCGGATTTTCAACAATTAGCTCAAGTACGCGCTCGTCACCTCACGTACAAGTCATTTTAATTACCAAATATATCATATCCTAAGGGGAAGGTCCCTCACACAAGGTTAGACAAGCCACTTACCTCGAACCAGCTCAAAATCAACCCAACACCATGTCTTTGCCACGAGTACTCGACTCCAAATGGCCCAAATCTATTCAATTTAATTTTATAATGTAAATAACACTTCAAGTAACTGATTCTACAATTAAATTCTAAGCTAATAAGCGAAATTATATAAAATGACCAAAATGCCCCTCGGGCCCACTTCTCGGAATCGGGTGAAATTTCTATTTTCAGAAACCTCGTATTCTCACGAGTCTATACATAACAAGAACACTAAAATCGGAGTCCAAATGCCCCCTCAAATCCTCATTAAAAGGCCTCTTAAACTCAAGCCCTAATTACCCACTTTTCCTTCACCACTAATTACGTCTTTAATCGCATAAAAATGAGTTATGAAGTGAAGGATGTTACCTCCAAGCGATTCCCCTTTATTTTCCTCAAAAATCACTCTCAAAAGCTTCAAAAACGATTAGAAATGGTGGAAATAAACTCCCAAGTCGCGGAACTCCTTTTAAAATAATGCCCAGCAGTTTCCGCATCTGTGGTCCCGCTTCTGCGGAACAAATGTCGCATCTGCGACTTCCCGCTTAAGGCCAGATTCCGCATCTGCGGCCCTTTACCCGCATGTGCGGTATCGCTTTTGTGAAAAATATACCGCATCTGCGGTTCCTGGAGAGATGGCCAATTTTCGCTTCTGCGGCTCCGCATCTGCGGTCCCCAACCGCAGATGCGAAAATACCAGAAGACCAGCTGTTGCACAACTTCAACTCCAAAATTTCTCTGTTAACCATCCAAATTCATCCCGAGGCCCCCGGGACCTCAACCAAAGGCATCAACATATCCTAAAACCTTATTCAAACTTGTACAAATCTTCAAAACATTTCAAACAACATCAAAACAACCAAAACACATCGGATTCAAGCCTAAGTTTCTAAAATCTTCCGAATTCCGTTTTCGATCAAAAACCCAACCAAACACGTCCGAATGACCTGAAATTTTGCACACACATCCCAAATGACATAACGAAACTACTGCAACTCTCGGAATTCCATTCCGACCCTCGGATCAAAATTCCACCATCGAACCGGAAACTTCTAAAATTCAACTTTCAGCATTTCAAGCCTAAATTAGCTACGGACCTCCAAAACACAATCCGAACACGCTCCTACCCCAAAATCACCTAACGGAACTAACGGAACCATCGAATTTCCATTCTGAGGCCGTCTTCACACTGTTCCGACTATGGTCAACTTTTCAACACTTAATCTCTCATTTAGGGACTAAGTGTCCCAAAACTCTCCGAAACTCAAACCGAACATCCCGGCAAATCGCATTAGCAGAAATAAACTTGGGGAAAACAGTTAATAGGGGATCGGGGCGTTAATTCTTAAGACGACCGACTGGGTCGTCACATGTCCTTACCCTTCCCAAGAGTTGATCTTACATAGACGAAAACGACCAAAACATTATCTTTCCACAGCCAATTGAAGTCATTTAAACCTAACTATGTCGGCTACGCGTATTAATACCATCTAACACAACGACTAACAATGTTAATTAGTACCATTAAATCTCTGGACGTAAGCGTGAGATAAGCTTTATTAATTATGAATAGCTTCTTTTTTATTCTAGTACTCAACTTAGTTCTTCACTAGACTTATGTGTAAAACATATTATCATGGAAATAGGAGGACAGTATCAGACTACCAGACACCCAATATTGCAAGATTATTTCAAAACAGAATATCAATCGACAATCAAATTAGTTATGCAAGAATTTGACAAAGATATTTGCCGTATACATTCCCTTTGATGAAAGGTTAGAGTTCTACTTTTACATCCCACTGGTGTTCAATAATGATGTCGAAAATTTACACAGCTTTCTTCACATACAAAATTCAAGAAAATCATGTGAGATTCAAGAATGGGAAGATCGACTATATCAGCTCGATTCGTTTGATGATGTCTGTAAACAAAATATTTCCACGTAACTAGCAGCAGCAGCAGAAGCCTCCTCCGAAAGAAGCAGCAGCAGATACAAAAACTAAAGGAACAGGTAAGTAACAAGCCACCCAAAAAGGCATCATCCGGCTGAACTCGACTTTCATCCTAATTAGAAACGGTAGAAGAAGGGCAGCCTGGTACATTTAAGTTCTTGCTATGTGCGGGGTTCAGAGAAGGGCCGAACCACAAGGGTCTATTGTATGCAGTCTTACCCTGCATTTCTACGAGAGGCTGTTTTCACGGCTTGAACCCGTGACCTCCTGATCACATAACAGCAACTTTACCAGTTACGCCAAGGCTCCACTTCCTAATAAAAACTGTAGAATTAATCTATTAATTACCACACGAAAAAATGTTTAGTACATTAAAGAAATACTCACTGTAGGGATCGGTCACTATTGATGCCAGAAAAGTTCAGGCAAAGCAGACACGGAATGTCCTTCTGCTAGTGTTTCTCTACATCGTATCTCAGGAAACCAGATATAAACTGCAAATAACATTCAGTAGAAACTATCAAATTACAGGGGGCAGAAAAAACTCTTGAAAGGTACAGATTCTAAGCATGAACAAAATAGATCTAAATCTAGACAGCATCTGAAATGTCAATAGGAGCGAGGAATAACCTATACATCATAAGAGTCAAAGACAAGAAGGATCAAGCGATCATTTCTTTGTAAATGTTCCATTGTGTTCTACAAACTCCCATGAAGGTCGAACAGCATCAGACAGAGATCTTCCACATTCCATTGTTCTTTTCAGCCAACTGATCTTGTTAGCAAGTTCCTCCAAATCCAAAATTACTGCTTCCACTGAGTTGGACTCCATCGAATTTAGTCGAATTTCACCACTGGTTTTAAACTTCTTCAGAGGACAATGAAAATAGTTTAGGTCCTTGTCAGTTGGCCCTGCACTTTTTGCAGCAGCATCTCCAATAGGTGAAACAGAGTCACTAACAGACCAAATACTTTGCTTTGATGTGTTTGCGGCCTCTTTTGAATCGGCAGCATTTGGAGGTTGTTCCATTAACCTTTTGGATTTAAAGCCCCTTTTTCATCTAAGGCTGGTAGAGATTTTGAAAATGAATTAGAGGAAGACGAATCTGATGTGATTTGATTCAATGTGCCTTTTGTTCTGTTTGCAGCCTCTGTTGAATCATCAACACTCAAAGAATGTTCTACAAACTCTGTAGTTTTGAGGTCCCTCTTTTCATTTGGTAGTGAGTTACCAGATAAACGAGTAGAGAAAGATGAGTTTGATGACGATCCAGCTGTAGCCTGGCTTTCCCTTCTACCTTTACACATAGTATGTCCTATACTTGATGGAACATCAAAAAGAGCTGCAATCATAATTACAAGCAGAAATTAAAATACTATGATGAAGAAATCTTTTCAGGAACATAATTCTTAGTAAATAAAAAATAGAGATGTGACAATTTTAGTTGGAATGCATACAAACTGCGGTTCTAGGAAACAATATGCAGCTTGCAAGCAAATGAAAATAGAACTTCCTGACAATGATATAACTAGATCCGGAGATTGCCAACTCTAAAAGCTAAATGAATGTAGAAAGAGACTCCCATTATTAATCAGTTTCTTCTGGGAAAATTGCACAAAACCGATCAAGGTAAAAACTTACGCGTGTTGTGGAAGCCAAATATATATAGTGTGAATAAGTCATAACTACTATACCAAAAATTATGACAGCCACCAAATAATAAATAAGACAATAAAGCAACAATAAAGAATTTACGAGGTTCCGCTAATTTTGCCTACTCCTCGGACACAACCAATATTTTATTCCACTCCAAAAATACAAGTGAAATAATACTAAAGAGAGAAGATACAAATGCCTTAAACAGATGAGAAGGCAAATGAGAGGTGTGTTTCAATCCTAAACCCTTCTTTTATAGGGGAAAAATCCCCCCAAAACTCAAGAGTCCACCGACGTGGGACAAAAATTTGCCAAACTTCAACAAATCTCCACCTTGGCAAAATTCCACATCTTCAAT